TTACTCCTCCCATTTATCCACTCCACTGAGGAAAAGGACATTTCAGTCATTTCGTCTCCATTTTCCCTTCTTTGACCTCTATTGACATTCTTCTCTGCAAAAATTTTGACCTGCGCTAATACCCCGCCGTTGTGCTGTCGAATAGCATCTACGCAGAAATTAAGGTTGGTAATTTCGTCAGAGAGGAATTAAAATCCTGAAATTTGGTTATTGGTAGGGTTTGATCGAGAAACTTTTCACTGATCGGAGGGGGAGAAACTGGGGAGGGACAATCGTGAAATTTGTCTGGCGATACCCAAACTGTATGTGGGAATTTATGAACACCAGATTCCAATTCATTCTTTCCTTGTCTGTTTAGATGTTTATGTATATACTTAAACACATGGTAATGCTTGCAATTAGTTTGACACATTACCAATGTCTTTCGGGTTTTCATCTTCAGGTTTCTGTTTAGCATTGTTAAACAAAAGAAAGATATTGAAGTTTGATTTTTGCCCGTTTCTGCATCTGTTGGGATGAGATGCTTGAATTTGGAGCTCAAGTTAGCTCCGATCCTACTGCTTCTTATATGTGGTATGCTTTCTTGAATCTTGATTATGTTGAAAACGGAATGTTGCCTCATGAAACTGATATTCTGAATAGAGAGAGTTATCATGTTGTTTTTATATAAAATATATGGTAACATATATTCGTCGTTCTACATGTTATTCACTTAAAAAGTTTTAATTTTTTTGCCGTTAATTGAAGGGTGATTAATTGTTCTCTCTCTTTTCTTGGCCTGAATCATTTTAATAATGGAGCAATTGCAAGGTTGATGCTATGAAGGAAGGAAGAATCATATATTCCTAACAAACAAAATTTACCTTTTCGGGGGGCACTTGTGCTTGTTTTCTGTTGGGATATTGAGCAGGATATTATACTTGAGCTACATACGTAAAGCAGTATTGCTTAGAAACTGTGGTTAAGATCTTTATGTAGCTGAGAAACGGATATGTGTGCGTATGTGCACTGATATCTGAGACTCTGACTCTGAGCATGTGGGCACTTATACAAGGCCAACATTGGTATTTTTTTCTAATAATAGTTGATCTTTCAATTTCTTCTTCCAGCTCCCATCACAACTAAGGCATCTGCTACTGTAGATGGTTATAAGAAGTGTGAACGTACTGTCAAGAAGTGGGCATTCTCTTCCCGTGATTCTGAAATTAAAGATGACAAACATGTATTGCGTGACTTGCTTTTTTTCCTACATGTACCTCGGACAGGAGGGCGAACTTATTTCCATTGGTAACTTTTTATTTGTGCTACTACTAGATCAGTTCAAGCCACTTTTGCTAAAGGAAAGAGGAAGGAAAAATATCGCATATAAAAGTTTTCTACATTATGTTTTATTACACAACAAATACAAATGGTTTATGCTCATGTTCAGATTTTACATATGCAGTTTCTTGAAGAAGTTATATGCAAATGCCCAAGAATGTCCACGCTCTTATGATAAGTTAAGGTTTAATCCAAGGTAACCTTTTCAATTTTCTTTTCATTGTACATGTTGAAATTCATTGCTAGTGCATGAGAACAGTTCGATGAAGTAAATGTATTCTTTCAAATGCATGTGAACTTGGGTATTTACTGCTGAGAATTCAGTTGTTGCCAAATGTTGTGAATGTGACAAGCTCTAAAACCGGGCACTACATAGGTATTGTAAATATGAATGAACAAATTTTATCTACGTGAGTTGTTAGTGTATATGCTCAAGATGCAAGAGTTAGGGTTTTAACATCTTGTTTAGGAATTACTTACCTGTATCTGATTTGATGAGGAAATTCAGTAATTGCTGGACTTGTTTTTCTTGGAATTTTTGGCCCTGATGTTAA